ACGACTGTTTGTGGAACATTGCTGTGCGCAATTGTCTGCCATCTGAATCATCAAAAAGCAAGTATTAATCTTAGATAACTGCATTGCTTTAGGTGTTTTTGTGGCAGACTGACAGAAACAAAATAGCTCAATAGCTGATATTATCAAGTATATTCCCAGAATAGCACAGGACAAATTGTCATTCATCTGTTGAACTGTGAAAACAATGTATTCAGAAATAAAGTGGATTCAGATTAGTCTGCTGTTCATGTCAGCGCAGAACTATTCTGCATTCCCATGCACACTGATACTTGCTACACTATTGCTATCAGTCCTCTATAGAAAGCTCTTCAGGATGTCTGTGCTTGCTTTGTTCCTAAGGCAATGAATTCCAAAATGAACCATTACCAGATGTGCAGACTTAGTTGAGCTTAGCAGTCCACACCCACAGGTATTTGTAATGTGTGGTAGGTGACACCACTGTCTTGTTCTGTCTGATACTCTGGTCATATGTTTTGTGTTATTTCAATCAAACCTCTAGGTACATTCTTGTTGATGTTTACAACCCATATGGAGTCCCTGGTAATTATCCAAGGTTAAAGTTAATAGAGTTACATTTTTGCAATTCTGAGTTTGAAAAGGCTAAGATAATACATTCCTAAGATAGTGCAGCTAAGATAGGTTTGGCAATTGTTTGCAAAACTCAACAGTTCAATTATACACAGCAAAATACTACAGTCATGAAACAAATCATTAATTTTATTTGGGAGATTGTTGGCCAGGACACTAAAAGAAACTCCCTTCTTTTATCAGTAGCCAGAGAATCTTTAACATCCATCTGAACAGGCAGGCAGGATTCAACATTGATTCAACATCTCATTTGAAGGATAGAACTTCCAACCGTGCAACAACCCAGCATTGCTCTGCAGTGTTAGCCTAGCCTATGTAAGTTAAAGACCCATTGTGGGGCTTAAGCCCACAACCTTATAACTTCAGAGGGCTACCAACTCTACCAACTAAGCCAGGCTTACACAACGGATTATCAATTTTAAAGCAATTTCAAGAACCATTCTTACTACAGGAGTATAAGAAGCTATATTTGGATTGGCAACAATATTTAAAACTAATTTGCCATCATATGGAAACTGCAGATTAAATATTGCAGCTATTTCACCATTTGCATTTTCCAAAGTAATTTTAACATGGTGCAAATCTTTAACAATGATGGATTAAGAACCTCAGTTGAGAAAAATATTGGGGTAGAATGAACACTGTTAATTCTCGCCACTCTGCTTACTCCTAACAGTACAATTGTACACTTCTTTATCGTTATAAATTACTTTCAGGCCAACCTCAACAGCCCTAGGAAACCAACATTGGTTGTTTCAGTCTGACAGCATGGAATCTGCAGTCCATACAGCAGCTAAATGCTTTCAGATGAGAATGGGGAATAAAGGAAGAGGGCAATGAGTAGAAAGCCTTATGCAAGACAGATGTCACATCTGGGTCTTTTAGAAGAACAGTATATACAGGGGTTTAAATGTTCCAAGGAAAAAAAAATTAATGTACATTTGCCAATGTTCCAAGATGTTTTATTTTATAAAACATTTTATATTTGATATCAAACTAGAGGTGTTGTTGCTGAAAACTGATTTAGTAACCATTGGTTCATCCAGTCTACCTATCCAACTTCCCCAAAGCTTCCTTCAGCATATCTTTTTTATCATCCACTAATCCCGAATGCTTTAGCTTGCAGGAACTTGTGCAGTTTATTTTCAAAATCCTTTATAGTTCCTTGTTCCACCACGTGTGCTAATAGTTTGTTCCAAATATTTATCATTCTTATTAAAAATAATTCTCCTGCATTTATATCTGCATTTAGTATTCTGCATCCCCTAATCTCTGGACCTGCCATTTCAATCCTCCAGTTTGCCCCCATCTTCATCTTTCTTTAAAATCCAATCAAACATTTAATAATAACAATAATAATACTTGCATTTGATATAGTGCCTTATCACATCATTGAGACATCTCAAAGCCCTTCACAGGGTATACTTTTAAGTGGATTGACCGTCTATTTTGTGGACAAAATGCGGCAGCCAATTTGTGTATAACAATGTCCCATAAACAACCATGAAGTGAGTAACCAATTTCATAGGTTGATTGTTGGACAGGACCCCAGGAGAAACTCCCTTCTCTTTTCGAATAGTGCCATGAGATCATTAACGTCCACCTCAACAGGCAGATAGGATCTCGGTTTAACATCACCACCAAAGGATGTCACCTCTGACAAAGAAACATACCCACTGCATTGGAGTGGAGCTTAGACAATATGATTCCACTTGGGGCTTAAACCCACAACCTTCTGACCCAGGATTACCTTTCAACCATGAATGGTCTCCTCCTTGCATGGTCTTCTCCCCCTCTTCCTTCTCCTTTGCTTGATGTCTAACCCCATCACTGTGCAGCACTATGAAACGCTATCCTATGTGAAAAACAACATCAACAACAAATTACATTTGTGTCGCGCCTTTCATGTCAGGAGGACAGTGTGAAAATATAAGTTGTTATTGCTTTATTTTGAAGTTATGACCCTTTGTTTTTGAATTAGTAAAAACTAAAGGGAATTGAAAATTTCCATGATCATAATACCTCTATTAAGCCACCCAGCCAGTGATGTGTTTTCAATTTGGTGTTTACATCACTTAGCAAGATGCATTGCTTCATGAGACATCCAATGGCTATAATTCTCTACAGTTTATTGGATAATCCAAAATAAAATTGGTCATTCCCATCCTGGTTGTTTGTGGGACATTGCTCTGCACAATTGGGCGCAGTATTTACCTACAACTACAGTCACTACACTTTAAGATATATCATATGAAGTGTTTTGTGATATTCTCTTGACATAAAAAGTGGTTTACCAAATGCAAGGATTATTATTATTATTATTATTATTATTATTATTATTATTATTATTATAATCCTTGCATTTGATATAGTGCCTATAATGTCAAAATGTTTCAAAGCACTGTGCAGGTAATTGCTGTAAAGTGAAGTGACTATTTGTAGGTGAATCTGGCAGCAAATGTGTACACATCAATGTCTCATGAACACCCTTGAAGAGAATTGTTCCTGTTGTCCGGGTCAACAAACTCTAGATAAAATGGTTGTTCATAGGACCCTGCTGTGTACAGATGATTCTGCCATGCCTGCCCTCAAATATACAGAAAAATACTCTGAATCACTTTGACATGGCTTGACATGATAAGGGCTATTTCAAATACAAAGATTATTTGTGTTCCTGTGTGGTCCTCTGATAGTCAAGTGATCAGTGAAATACTCCCAATTGGGTTTTACATCATTTCCTGCTGATAGACTATATCCACAGTGATTTCAACCTGCCTATCAAACTCATTTAAATTCCTCACTTCCACCACCAAGTTATGTTTTATTCATGCTACCACTGCCCCACCCCCTTTTATGTTTTCCCTGCTTTTATAATTTAGCATTTCAGAAGCACTCAGAGACGCTACCCTGCAAGAAGGGTGCAAGGATCTTCTGTTGTTCCCTAAATTTCTGTAATCTGCAACAGAACACTGGGATTGAAAAAGCAACTCTTCCAGAAAGTGGTAGCGATGCTGGGGCCTTACACCCGAGAAAACCCACACAATGGGACATTCAGTCAGTGGCACCAGTTAATCAAGAGCAAAATTCATTTGATATCAAATCAGAAAATAGCGCAGTGAAATAGCATGGGGCTGAGTTCCATAGTGACGTTAACGGGGACTGTTATTGCATGATATATTTACAATACACCCTGTGACGCACCTTGAGACATTGTGCCAATATGATAAGGCGCCATAACAAATGCAAATTTGTATTAATGTGATTTTTAATATCCTCTTCCGAGATACAAACATGTTCAATCTTAAGAAACTAACTCCACTCTTCCTTCTGCATACATGCTACATACAGTGAAACTCTGATAATTCGGCCCTGGAATAAGTCGCCAACCCCACATTGAGTCGTTTACTCATTATCCCGTCTATTCAAGTATTTTGTACTATTGAGATACTGTACTTTGGATAACTAGTGAACCACGATGATAATAATAATCCTTGCATTTGGTATAGCGCTTTATCAAGTTGCCGAGACGTCTCAAAGCGCTTAACGAGATTCACTGGGAAATGTAGTGACTGCGTAGGCAAATGCGGCAGCACAATTATGCAATTATGCAAGCACTGTCCCGCAAATAGCCACGCAGTGAGCGACCCATTTTGTTTTGGGGATTGTTGGCCAGGTCAGTTGGAACAGTGACATGGGGTCTTCAAAGTCCACCTGAACAGGCAAACAGGATCTCGGTTTAACGTCTCATCGGAAAGACGAACATTTGAGCCATTTCCCTCGGGAGGGTGAGGAGTTATCAGAGATTATTTACTGTGTTGGCATTGCATCTTCCTCTCCAGGGCGCTTGGATCAAAAAAAAAGGGAGGACTTTTATTTTGAAGCGACCGTCCACCCACAAATGGACCTGCCTGCCTGCCTGCCTGCTCTGGGAGGGGAGGGGAGGGGAGGGGAGGTTGCTGTCAAGTGCTGCTCAGTCTGGTGCAGAGTGAGGAAGTGCAGCAGTCTGACTGCAGGCGATTATTAAAGCTATGCTTAACAGTACAGCCAGACTCCAGCAGTGAAGGTGCTCTCTACTGAACAGGACCACAGCAGCAGCAGCAGCAGCAGCAGCAACTGAGAGAAAGATTGCAAATGGGAGAGACTGAATGGACTTGACAGCTTGAGGCGAAGTCATGAAGTAGAGCAAAGCATTGCTTTGCACAAGGAGATTGGGAGCAGGATTGAAGATTGCAGGGGACAAGTGCTGAGCAACGCAAATAATGGCTCTGGCATCAACTGACTGCTTGTTAGCTGAGGGCACCTCCCTGATGCTGTAGGGGATCAGACGGCACAGACTGCACATGCAGACACACAGTGACAGACAGTCAGACAGACAGACAGACAGACAGACAGACAGGGGCTGTGCCTCAGTATCAGGACCCCCTTCCTCTCCCCCGGGATTGCAGAGGATTCCCTTTCGGAAGATGAAGTGAGAGGTTCACTGTGAGGAGGAATGGTACAGTTGCATCACTCTTATTAAAGTGCTCTTTGCAAACTCACTTGGGGGTCGCGGGTTAATAGCCAAACGCTTAGCGCAAAGGGGAAACAGATTCCTTTCTGCCAGCATTCACTGCTCAGCTCTCTGTCGGTCGGTCTGTCTGTCAGAATTTAAGATTGCATGAAACTAACGCTGAGCCCAGCAAATAGTGACTGTGAGTGAGTGAGTGAGTGAGTGACAGTGAATGTGATGATGCGGTGGGTTCTGAGGCTCAGCATCGCAGAGCTGTTCAGCAGCTCCAGCTCCAAGCAGCAGATAATGAATGCTAATAACATCCTGAGATCTACATAATAATAATAATAATAATAATAATAATAATCCTTGCATTTGATATAGCGCTTTTCACGTCGGGAGGACGTCCCAAAGCGCTTCACAGAATATACTGTAAAGTGAATTGACTGTATATTTGTGTCAGCCTGACTCAGCCGGTTCTGCCTGTCAGTCAGAAGATTGTGGGTTCAAACCCCACTTTGGGCTCATTGTAAAGCGAGGCACCAGTGCGGTGCTGGGAGGAGCGGGTGTTATCAGGAGGTGCCATCATTTGGATGAGACATTAAGCTGAGGTCATGACTGCTTGTCCATGTGCACATTGAAGATTCCGCGGCACTATTTGAGAAGGGAGTTCCTCCCAGTGTCCTGGCCAACAATCCTTCAGGGAATACCGGTCATTCACTTCATGGATGTTTGTGGGACATTGCTGCGTGCAAATTGGCTGCTGCGTTGGTTCACAAATATAAACAGTCACTACACTTTACTGTATATTTTTGTGAAGCACTTTGAAGCACTCTCAGTAGCTTGATAAGGTGCTATGTGCAATACAAGAATGATTATTATTATTCTGTTAATATTTGAATTTGGGAGAGAATGGAATATCTTGTGGAGGGAAAGGAAGGAGGCAGCATTTACATTTAAGCCTACAGGAACATTTGGAAATTGCAACAAGCCACGATAATCTGGTAGAGAAAAATATGTATGTTACTCTGAAATAGTCATGGAGGAAAGGGGCTGCGCTTTAATGCCCACCTGAATCAGAAGGCAGGCAGAATCAAAAAGAATGATATAGTTAAATATAAAAGGATGATGATCTGGAACTAAATAATAAATTGTATTTAATATACAGTAGAATGTAATGTAAGCAAAGGTAAGGTGAAACTAATTTTAAATGTTTGGGATGAATTTGGATTAGGGATGAATATTGGCCAGGACATGTCACATACCACCATTACATTCACAATTATAGGATTTAAGATCCATTGAAAATTAATTAACTGAACAATTAACCCACAGAAAGGTCTAAAGAATGATCCTGTTCATGTGGTTAAATTACATAGAGTAATAAGGGCGGGCACCTGCATGTATTTGAACGTGGGTTATTAGCCCAAACTGCATTTTAGCTCCTATTGTTCTGTAATTGGTCTGATTTCCGAAAGGAATTGTAATTTCCGATCAGAATCGCATCTGGGTTAGCGATTCCCGGATGTGATTCCAATCTCAGTTCTGATGTCCGCAAATTTGGTGACCGATGGTGTTCCAGAAGCTCGGCTGTGAATCTAGCAAATTAGACCTATTATGTGGAATAATAATGCTGTCTGGGCAGACTATTTACTACCCTGAGCAGCAGCCTGGAGCTGATTGTGTTGCAGGAGGTTGTGTCGGGAGTAGTTTGACAACAACTGTAGGATACCTGGGTCACCTGCAACACCCAGTTTTCCATGCAGGTGCCCCAGTCATGCCTTGTTGACTGCAGCCGCCACCTCCTCATTGGTGCCCACTGCCACTGGCTCTGCCTGATAATTCATGGTGTTGGCAGCAGGCTGGGTGATGCCATTGCCCATGTGAAGTGATAGCATTTATACATAAGGAGATTGTGGGTCCTGAGCACAGAACTAAGCATGTTTGCACCAAAATACTACAATTGACTTCAAAATGTCTTTCCTGTAGGAGTAACATTTGGAAAGTGAGAACATTAGAAATAAAAGTGAGTGTTATTGTGTAGGTAAACATGGCAGCTAATTTATTCCAGCAGCATCCGCAAACAGCAATAATAACAATCCTTACATTTACAGCACCTTTCATATCAGGAGGACATCTTAAAGGATATACTATAAAGTGCAGTGAATGACCAATTTTATTTGTGAGATTATGGGACAGAACACCTTTCTTTTTTCAAGTAGTACCATGTGTAGACCCTAAAGCCAGTGCTGAGCAGAGGAACAAGGATGCTCCCTCAAAATTCATTATAACACATTCAAGTGTCATCTTGGCTCAGTTGGGGGCATTCTCACCTCGAAGTCAGAATATCAAACTGCATTTGATATTGCACCTTATCATGTTGTTGAGATGTCTCAAAGCACTTAACAGGATATACTGTAGAGTATAATGGCTTTGTGTACCTTGTGGCTAAACAGGACAGCCAACCTGCACACAGCAGTGTCCCACAAATAGCCATGAAGTGAGTGACCAAATTTATCTGGGGAATTGTTGGTCAGGACACTGGGAGAAACTTTTCTTTTAACATAAACTAACAAGCAAAGAGGAATCGACGTGTCCTCCTTGATTTACTGAAGGACAGCACCTCTGAGAATACAGAAAGCCCCCAGTACTGAATTTGGTGTGTCAGTGTGGGCCATGTGGGTTCTAGGTCATGACACAGAGCTTGAACTGAGCCAGGGTGACACTTTAATGGATCCAAGTCCCATGTCAGGACGTTGAACTCACAAAGTCTAAGCTGGCACTCCATTGCAGGGCTGGGGGGGAGCAAAATTGTTGAAGGTGCCATCCTTCAGATGAGATGTTAAACTGAGGTCCTGTCTGCCTGTTCAGGTGGATGTTAAATATCCCATGGCACTGTTTGAAAAGAGAGTTTCTCTTAGTGTTCTGGCAATATTTCCCCAGATAAAATTGATTATTCATTTCATGTCTGTGTGTGGGAAATTGCTGTGCACAAATTGGCTGCTGAGTTTGCCTACAACTGGTCCATAATATAATGTTCAAATAAACACATGGACCAAAAAGAAACGAATGCTTAAATCAGCAATGTTGAATATGGTTGGGAAGAATCTGCAGCCCAGTCTTAGTGTAGCTGAGAATATCAGGGATCCTCCCAGGTCAGTCGGGTATGTTTTTGACAGCTCTTGGCTGGACCACCAGGTGAAGCAGTTCAGAGACACGGTGGAAAATCCTGGTACTGTCTAGCTCGTGTCTGAAGAACACCTCATAGTAATGGAGTGAAGGGAAACACGGAGACGTCCACAGTTCATTCTACTCCCCTGATTTGAGGTACACAGGGGAGTTACAGAGACAATAGGACAAGGGAGATGCAGAGACAATAGTAGTTTTTAACAAAATTACCCAGGACATAAACAATAGCTTCAAAATTCACAGTGGTAAAAAAAAATGCTATTTAGAAAAGTGCTTATCAAAGTGTGTGTGTGTGGGGGGGGGGGGGGGGTGGGAGGGGGGGTGATGGGGGGGAGTTCAGGGTCAGAAAATTACAAATTTAACTTTGAGTTTTGCTGACACCTACTTTCATTCCACTAGGCTTGTTGGGGGTTTTTCCTGTTCCTAAGCCATCCTGCTTTGGTTCCTTTATTACGTCAAAACATATCACAGCTAATTACTGTCAGGTATAGGTAAACATGGTAGTCAATTTGGATATAGCAAAGTCCCACAACCAGATATCAAATGAATTATTAATTAATCTGGATACCAGGAGAATCTCCCTTCTCTTTTCAAATCATGTCACGGATTCTATAACCTCTGCGAAAACAGGCAAACGAGACCTTGTTTTAAAATCTGAACTGAAAGGCCACAATGCAGCACACCCCAAGCACTGGATTGGCAGAAGTCCTAACACAAGGCTTGAGCCCACAACCTTCTGACCTAGAAACAAGAGTGCTATCAAGTGCGTCAAGTTGACACAACAGTGAGAAGCTAGGCAGACTTTCATCACCATGCTTTAAACTTTTCAAATTAATTTCTCTATTAATGTACAGCTTGCCACCACTTCTAACTGTGAATTGTAAACTCCATTACGGCATTCTAAATGATCTGCTGTTGTTTTGAACCACTCAAATGTCAAAACATTGTGCAACCCCGTGCAAATAGACAGTGGTCATTGGATTCTCTCACTGACTCTGGGACACATCCAAGTTTCTGGGACTAGTCATAAATCTTGGGCATGTGGTCTGGTTCTATACCAACCGAGGTTTTCTGGCAGCAGTGTGTTTGAGTTATATAATAGTGGTACTGTGTGGTTAAAAGCTACAGAGGATAGTGCGAAAACTACAGTGTAAACATTATTGCTGGCATCAGGTGAGGCACTACTAACCACTCACTGGTGACTGCCACAGTATAGACATACGTTCCCTAAGGGTAAAGCATCAGGAATCATTTGATTGAAGAGAGCAATGAGCAAATATCCAGAATTCTCATCAGAACAACACTGTGAGGCCACAGAGCTTGTAAAGTCTATTGCATCTTAAAAATTAACATTGGGTAGAATTCTGGAATAGTTTTAAAATCAGTCATTTGGGAGTTTTTTGCATGTTCATAAAATGAACTAGTTTCCAATTTCAGATTAAATGAAAGAATTTTACACAATTCTGCAGGACCTTAAATTTTAAGACTTGACAGTCTTACAGCTAAGACAGTAAAATTACAGGTCTCAGGATCCCTAAATTAAGGGAACACAAAGTGCTCTTATCTCAAAAATAGGAACCCAGCTGAGAGCCTAGCAATTAATTGTAGAGGATAGTGTGTAATAAAAGACCCAACTCTTCAGTCTAGGCTCAATTGCCCTGTCAGCAAACAAATAGCAGGCAAAATTGTACTATTGGTAATGCTGGAAATAAATAGGATCAGTACAGAAATTCAGTGAAAAAAAATGTGTCCTTTAAAAGCTTCTCTTATTGATAGGATAAGGACTGACCACTTCCCTTACTTGGTAGAATGGCTTCTCTTTTTCTGGAAAGACTAATCAGACCGTGGAGAATGTAGATTTTTCACTTCTTTGTTACAACGTCCCCAAAAAGAAATTTTAAAAGTATACGTTGAAAGTTAAAAAGCCATTTAGTGGCTATGAATGGATAAATCATGTACCTCACTAAATTAGAAAGATGGCCATGTTTTCACTCTGAAACAACAGAGGGAGAAACAATTCTCCCAGATTCAGGGTTGAGGGGGGAGAGAGCGGCAGGGAGTTCAATCCCAAACCTTTCATTAAGGACAGCTTCCAGCCTTTAACCCATTCCTTAATTATTGCTAGTGATAAAAAAGAATGGAAAAATTTGACCGCGTAAGATCATAGAATGTTAACAGCACAGAAGAGGCCTTTCAACCCATCATGGTTGGGTTAAACTCCCCATTAGAGTGATCTACTCAAAATCATTCCCCTGTTTCTTCTCCACACTCAAAGGTACCTTGTGATTAGTTTGAAAGCTCACAACAGGTTTTTTAATGTTTATGTGAATGAAGATTCATTAATTTTATTAATATGCAAAGGTCGTGCTTGTAGGATTGTGACCTTGAAACTCATGCACGTAAAAAGTTTAACTGACTAAATAAGCAATGGGCAATGCATGGCATTTGAACGTTCTTCACATCACTTTCCTTTATCACTTGGAAAGCCACAGGCATTAAAATGTGAAATTGGTCATTCACTTCATGTCTGTTTGTAGGATCTTGCCATGGCCAAATTAGCTGCTCGTTTGCTTGCAAATACACAGTCACGAGACATGACAGCAATTTCAATTTAAACGGGAATTTTTTTAAAAGTAAACCCAGAGCAATACTTTAGGATACACAAGTGTAGTAGAACAAGAGGACGTAGGTTTAGAGTTGCAAAAGGCAATTTGAGGGCAGATACCGCAATGATTTTCTTCACCCAGAGGGTAACTAATGACTGGAACAGGTTTCCATGAAGGATGATTTAGGCCAGGACACTGGACTCATTTATAAAAGAGCTTGATGCTGTGATGGGGGCAGTTGGGTAGATGTTCTGCCAAGGATGAGACTAAATGGGCTGAAGGACCTTCTTCACTCCCAACAATCTTGTGACTGTCAGCTGTTTGGAGATGTTTCAGCATCATAGGCATTGTTATCAATGCAAGAATTATTACTATTATTCAACTGTTGTTTTCTTCCTTGTATAGGCACGGCGACTGTCACTAAAGGTACTCTTCAGGAAGAGACCTGTGACTCTCTGCTGCTTTTTCAGTGCCCTTTCCATGGTGATGATTAATACTCTTCCGCCTCTACCGACTGCTGACAACAGCATATTTGGCTTTGACTATCGAGCTCCCGGCCGGCCACATGGCAGATACACTCAACATCGTCTGTGGAGAAACAGCACTGGTGCCTTTGTCAAAAAGACAACCGCCTCCCAGACAAATGGCAAACTCCCGCCCATGGGGAGGAAAAAGCTGAAACGATGGCCTGTGGGTGACGCACAGTATAACTACATGCAGTCCAATTATGGAGAAAGGCACAAATATCCCAGCAACTCAGATAAAGCAGATAAACCAAAGGGGAAAGGACGGCAGCTGAAAGGAATCCACAGGAAAACAAATGATAACCAGGCTGAGGCTTTTGAACCTCAAGCACAAGAGATGTCTCCCCAGAGACGGGGGATGTCTCCCCAGATACAAGCTGGTAAGAACACTGATCCTCATGGGATGACACAGGATAACAGACCACCACCCACACACTCTCCATCTTCAGTGGAGAAGCCTATTTTACAAGCTAACAATGTGAATCGAATTGTAACAATCAAACGCAGTTCTGTTCAACTATCTCAAAAGTCTGTCACTTTGAAGATTTCTACATCCGGTGTGAAGGATGGGATGTCTCATGATAAACCAGTCCTTCAGGGCACCTCAGATAAAAAGCAAAATGCCCCTCAATTTAAAACCTCTTCAAACCGTACAGAAAGTGTACCTGTCCAAAAGGTTAAGAACAAGGCATACCACCAAACTACCAGAACCTCATCCACCAACAGTGCAAGTGACATGTTCTTGGCAAATAATGGGAAAAGTGAGGACAGACGAGGAGGTGAACCTAAGCTGTGTAACAATTTTGAAGCAAACCTGCTACTTTCAGACTCGGGAGATAAGGCTAGTCTCCTTGGGCATCCACCACCTTGGTTCAATTCAAATGACATTGAAAAGATGAAGTTGCTGAGTAAGGGTTCAGTAACGGCGAAGGAACGGATACCTGGTCATGGGCAAGTAATGCAAGTCGGTCTGAGCTCTCACCCTGACACTGTAATCCCCGACCTCCTGGCACACTGTCAGGATGGGTTTTGTGGTTTGATAAAGAGACCCAGTGATCTTTATGAAGTATTAGCGTTCCATTTGGACAGGGTTCTGGGTCTCAACCGGAGCCTTCCTGTCGTGGCCCGAAGATTCAGCGATGGATTGCTGCCATACAGGTACACAGATGGAGTGCCCAGGCCAATTGTTTGGTGGGATTCTGATATTCAGCATCTGGATAATCCCAACAAGGACCAAAATTCATTTGAGTTGAGTTGGCTACAATACCAGGCTCAGCTGCAAAGGCACTGTGGCACTGCAGACTCTCAGAAGAATCCCACAGAGGACTGTCTCAGTGTGAAACATTCTGAGTGGGGCAGATTGGCTCTCTTTGACTTCCTCTTACAGGTAATACTTCTTCTACGTGAAGCATTGATTTCCCTCACTTTTTAACACAACTACCTAAGATATATATAGAGAGAAAAAGCTGCTGAGGAGTCCTATAGTTCAGTGGTTAGAGCACTCGCCTTGCAAGCGAGAGACCTGGGTTTGATTCCCGACAGGGTGAAACCTTGGACAAGTTTCCTTCCTGATAATAATCGCTCAAGGATAAAACAATAATAAAATTGGTCACTTCAATCCACGACTGTTTGTGGGACACTGCTGCGCGCAATTGGCTGCCGCGTTTCCCCCACAAACATACAGTCAATTCACTTTACAGTATATTCTGTGAAGCTCTTTGAGACGTCTAGAAGTCGTGAGAAGCGCTATATCAAATGCAAGGATGATTATTATTACTATGATATACTTAAAGAATAGCTTTGAACTTCACAATGGTACGAAAAGCAATGCTATTTAAAAATGTGCTTATCAGTGAGATATTTAAAGATTTTGGAAATGCAACTGTTTAGTGCTACATTGCTAACCCAATAGTTCACTATCTATGTTTAAGATTGGAACATATGTACAGAATTAGGCCATTTGACCCGTTAAGCTTGTTCTGCCGTTAAGTCTACAGCAACTCAATAATTTTATTCTTTTCCTTTCCCCAAATCCCTTTATACTTGTCCCTTACTTACTAATATCTTTATAACCTTATTCACTAAGGTATGCATCTCAGTTTGTTTTAAGATCCTCAGTTTATTCTATAGCTTTTGGCCATCCAATATTCTCACCACTTTTTTTCTGGCCACCCTTTTAGTGTCTTAGCTCGAATCTTATGGTTATGTCTTCTTTTTGAGATTCCCAACTACAGTCAAGAGTCTGTTCCCCTATTGAACAGCTAAATCAGATCACGTTAACTTCCTTAACTTCAAGACTGAGATAGATATGTTTCTTATTGCAAAAGGGATTAGGGATATGGGGATAAGCAGGGTCAGGTTATTAGCTGAAGTTAGATTAGAAGATCAGCCATGATTGAATGGCGGGGCAGGCTGAAGGGCCGAATGGCCTACTCCTGCTCCTACATGTTATGTTATGTGATATTAGGTTTGGGAACAGGTTGGGCATATGATACAACTCTGTACAATGATACATACCTCCTTACATAGCTCTATAGTTAGTACAATGTTATCAAATGATAATTTCCCTCTTACAGAGTTGTAACATATTTGTATATAGAGTATTATACAATGTTTGTCTTTCCCTTACAGGACTTTTAACATGAAGCTCATAATCAAGGGATAAAGTTCGTGGTGTTTCACAACACATTCCTAGTTAATTAATACAAGAAACCATGCAATGACATGCTATAAACTTTAAGCCATATTGTGGTATTTTTTGGGATGATTATTGTAATGAAAGGATCATTGTGGAGTCCTGTAGCTCAGTGGTTAGAGCACTCGCTTTGCAAGCGAGAGACCTGAGTTCAATTCCAGGCAGAGGGCGAAACCTTGGGCAAGTTTCCTTACTCCACACACCTAATAATAATCCCTCCAAAAACAATAATAAATTGGTCATTTTCAATCTACGACTCTTTGTGGGACATTGCTGTGCGCAATTGGCTGCCGCGTTCGCCCACAAATATACAGTCAATTCACTTTACAGTGTGTTCTGTGAAGCGCTTTGGGCCGTCCTCCCAACGTGAAAAGCGCTGTATCAAATGCAAGGATTATTATTATTATTCTAAAGGAACTAAAACATTAACAATCCTATTACTAGGGTCAATTTAAATGGGCTTCCTTTGACTGAAAGATAAAACCATTCACTTTACCAGTGCTATAACTCTGAAGTGTTGTAATTCTAATAGTTCCCACATGATTACCGTAACCTATCCTTTATGTCTGTTTGAACGTATTGGCATTCATTGTTTCAAGGTTATTGTTGTGATTGAATATAATGCAACTCAACAGAGGATTGTCCAAGAACGAAAATGTCATTGCGGCTCATCTTCTGTTACAACGGTAAAGAAAATAACAACATAAACAAGAAATAATCCTGCACAACTCTACCTTTCATTCCCTTAATCTCGTTCTTTTTGAATTGAGTTATTTCTGAACTGTGTGTTCACCTCCCCTGTTCTGAGTTTGATTCAATATGCTTTGATCATGTTAAACTCTACTTTTGTTTTCATCGACTTTAGCACAATGTGACATGACGACCATTCATGTTTGTGACTGCTTTGTATTCAGTGGACACTCTGTGACAGATTCCTCATTACAAATGTTATTTTTGTTTTAACTGGCATACTGCAAGCTGCTCTCTACATATATTCATGAATCAGGACTCAGAGCATAAGAACACAAGTCCGAACACTCCAGAAAGTCTACAAGCAGCACAGAGAAGGGTGAACTCTGGGATTTTTTAACCCAAAAATGATATTATGAGCTCTCTGGTTCAAGAGAAAAGGGTATTGAATTTAGAAGTGATGGAAAGCAACCGACTAAAGTGATGGAAACTAAGCACGATGGTAATGAAATACACTCTTTCTGAAACTTACTAAAAACAAAGTATATTGTGTTCTGTGTTATTATAAAATCTTTCATTATTTATATCAATTGTAAAGGTAACTGAAATTCTTAAATTGTACATAATTTAATCAGCATTTCTACAGTGATAGCTACATTAATATCTTTTTAAAAGGTGCGGTCATAAGAGCTTTGATCAGATAAATTCTCCTCATGGTCATTCTCTGAATGCAGTGGCATATCGGTTGTAATGTAGCTGGAACTGCCTGTACCAAACAGCAGACAGTGCTCTCAGTGGAGCTCTGAAGGGCTATCTTCTGTTGCTGAGAGTTGGGCTGTTAGCTTCTCATTGTGATTACAGCAGAACAGCTAGAAAACAGGCCTGCTCCACCAACGGCCACCAACAAGATGCATTATGTGATGCAAAGTAGTCCTGTCACTGTATCTGAGTAAAACCCAATTGTACAGTTTGCAAAGGCATTCAAATGTCTTTGGTTGTCACCTCCTATACACCCTGAACGTGAGGTGAGCTAATGATGGGATGCCACATGCCCACTATGACTGATCTCTTGTTACATCTTTTTCAGATGACAAAAACAATAAATTACATTTGTATAAGCGCCCTTCACATTGGGAGGACGTCCCAGGGCGCTGATCTCTGGACAGTCCCATAAGGCTGTCAGATGAGTCACAGCCTCATGGGAATGTCCAGAGATGATGCTAAAAAAATTGCCTTGAAAGGTGTGGGATCTTCCTGGCATTGGAGAGCACAGGTCTATTTTATTCCCATCAGAGGATTTGATGCATATCATGAGCACTGTCATCATCCTGTTCCCTCCCTCTTGGAGATGGCAATAGAATCAGGAGGGAATAAATGGAAAAGCATTGATATTAAAGCATTTCACATTGATATGTGAAAGAATGACATGTGAAAGAGTTAAATAATTATGTGTTCTTACTGTATGTGGTGTTGGCCTGGTTTTGTACAGGGTAATAATTTATATTAAGACCAATTGAACTGACACATATTCATTTGCATGATTCACTGCTAATGAATAGTGTCTAGCCAAAGTGGGTGGTAACCACAAGGTTACTTGCATGCATGTCATGATGCCATCCGTTCTTTACTGAACACATTTTAAAACATGACTGAGCCTAGACTTTGCACGGCTTGAACATATCTTAGTAAAAATCTCCTCATGGGGTAAAAATTTCATCAGGCCTTACACATTATGCATTTGGTGTTTTCGGCCATTAAAGGATTTCTCTTATACAGTAATCGCACAGCAAAAGCAGTGCAGAGGCTCAATGGAGTTTTTACCCATGAGGTAAGATGAGTTGGTATGGTGCTCTTGCTGAGAAGTGGAGAACTTTTTTCCGCCTCGATGTCTACCCTGGGAAGTGCTTTTTAGGGTTACTATTGTGATAACAACGACAACAAAAGCTTGCATTTATACAGCGCCCCCTCATGCAAGGTAGCGTCCTAGAGCACCTGAACATTGTTCTTATGATATAGTTGTTGTGACAAACATTTTGCTGAAAACTTTGGCCAGACCAAACAAGTTAAGCAGGTTGAAAGTATTCAGTAAGATAAATCCTCTAGCATGAAGGAATTGTTGCTTTAGTCATTACTGAAAGTCTCTACCTGACTTGCAGCTGTAAAGCCTTCATCTTAGGGCATTCTCACCACAAATGTAAATTGTAATTGGGGCTTTGAATTAATTTGCTCGCATACAGCATTCAGTGTTGGCTCTTGGCTGTTCATGTACATCTTAAATTTTCCTTGGCAAAGACCAAGTTTGAATCTTCTTCCCATAATATTTGAACACCTGGAGGAATGAACGTCTCTTTTGTCTCAAAGGCAATCTAGACACTGATTGTGATTTTGACGCAATCTTCAACATATCAGGTAACAGCTCATGTCAAAAACTCCACAAGATCACTATTTAGATCTAGTTTGTTCTCGAGCTGAAGGGGCGGTTCAAATATAATGAGGTAGAGACCTGAAACCCACCTCTTTTGGTTCCTCTTTCACCTTGAGCCATTAAGATGTTTTTCAGGAAAACAGAAAAATTCATTCCAATATTTCAGAGTGTTTCGAATTCATCAGGGAGGTCACCTCCCCTCCCCGCCTCTCCATCCTCAACTACTGATTGGTTGAATACACCTTCGCAAATAAGTGGGCAGCAAAACCAATTTAGTGATGTTAAAGATTTTTAGGATTTGGTCCTGCTTTTTGCTCTTTTAATGTGCAAATGCCTCCATATTGGAGCTAAATGATACTGAATAATTTTTAACCCCATCCTTGGCTAATCATTCTCTGTGTTTTATTAATGATTGCTGGTAACTATAGAGGGGTGTACATTGGAATAAAATGGTGAAGAGGAGGACAATGTTGATTGTTCTATATATGGTGGACGTTGCTGTTTAGTGTGCAGTCGTGTGCAGTTGTGGATCATTACAGGAGTCCTGTAGCTTAGTAGTTAGAGCACTTGTCTCGCA